AAAAATAATAATAATAATAATAATAGTTTATTAAATATATAGAGAGAGAATTATAACATAACTTTTTATTTTAAATTAATGACATACATTCACTTATTTTCTTATAGTGAAAAAAATTCAATTCAAACAAGAATACATTATTAATGAAAGCGGCCTTTAAGCATGTCAACCCATTCAGGAAACAAAAATTTCAAAATAAATTACCGAAAAAAAAAAAATCTAAAAATAATTATTCCATCATCGTAGGTTGAACACCTAAAAAAAAAAACAAAAAAACAAAAAAAAAAACAATTCCCTGGTGAATGTGAATTTATCACTTTCTGCCTACAGTATACAAAACGCCCCAAAAAATTTGTACCTTTCACATAATTAAATAAATTAATTTGAAACAACTAAACCCAAACGTTAATATTTAATCATGTGCACGTGCACATATGCACATATATACAAATAATTGTTAAACATTGATATCCATAATAACTAGTATATAATTCCGTGCACATGCACAAATATAAAAAAAAATAAATCATACTCATATTATAGTGGTGTATTTAACATAAAATCACAAGTTAGATAATAGGCATCACATTTTATAATTTTTACCATTGATAAAAGTGAACGATATAAATATAATTTACTTAGCTTAAATATTAATTTTTATTGATTGCAATATTATAATTTTTACAATTTTAACTAATTTTGATTAATTAATTGGATACAACGATATTAAAATTATTATTATAGCAATTGCGTACGGAATTTTAAGAAGTTTGGTTATAACATAAAAAATAATTAACTAATTAAAACTTACTTAATAGGATAAAAAAAAGAAAAAAAAAAACCTGCTCTAAAATTTTGAAGATGAAAATTCCTTTCTTCACTTCCTCAGTATGGCGCGTAGACATGGCCACGGGTCAACCTGCCCGCCGACACGGCCCGGACCCAGCACGGACCCGGCCCGGTCAAACCGTTGACCACGAGTCCGGGCCCGGCTCGGATTTCATAAGGGCCAA